TTGGAGGCTCAAAGTTCCACATCTCCCAAAATGGCTCACAGTGCCTCTTCTTGCCATTCTGCTCCATTGACCGAAAGTCCTTTTGCAAATCCAGGACAGACTTCGGATGGGTGTGAACCAGTCTCTCAGTACACCCCAAAAACCACGTCACAAGACCCAGAAGGAAACGGATCCCATGTTGCTTCGCCTAGGTCTACTGAGAAGTTCTGGAGAAGAACGAGGAAGGACAACGTCCTAGAAGGAAGAACCACCAGATGGGCTGGAAGACATCAACTTTGCCAGGAGTACTACAAAGAAACCGAGGCACCCCGAGAACTTTGCAGTCGGTTACACCATCTTTATCGTCGATGGCTGAAGCCAGAGAAACACACAAAAACTCAGATGTTGGACTTGGTGGTCCTGGAGCAGTTCCTGGCCATCCTGCCTTCAGAGATGGAGAGGTGGGTGCGGGAGTGTGGAGCAGAGACCAGTTCCCAGGCGGTGGCCCTCGCAGAAGGCTTCCTCCTGAGCCAAGTAGAGGAAAAGAAGCTGGCAGAAATGCAGGTGAGACAAGAAAATATTGCACCTCTAATCCTCGACTTAGCAACAGTTCACTTAGTGACCATCCAAAGTTACAACAGCATTGGAAAAAAATGACTTACAACAGTTATGAAGGTTGACTCAGCCTTCCATCCTTCTGAGGTCGGTCAAATGAGAACCCATATTGTTGGGAGGCAAGATGTTGACTCTGTAAACCACTTAGAGAGGGCTGTAAAAGCCCTGTGAAGTGGTATATACCATAATTTTTGCACTATAAGATGCTCCAGAACTTAAGACACACCTAGCTTCTCATAATACCGCTGATCAGCTGTTCCTGGCGGCGGGGATCGTCTCAACCACTTGCCGCTGCCTGGAACAACTGATTGGCGGTATTCCAGGAGGCTGATCCAACCGCCAATCAGCTGCTTGGCAGGGAAGGCTCCAGCGGTCCCTGACGGGGTTGAGAAGCTTCAGTGGTGAACTGGGTGTGTCAAGTTTAATGAAAAGGACTACGGGTGACATGATAGCACTCTTCCAACATCTTAGGGGCTGCCACAAAGAAGAGGGAGACGAGCTATTCTCCAAAGCAGTTGAGGGCAGGATAAGAAGCAATGGGTGGAAGCTAATCAAGGAGAGAGGCAACTTAGAACTAGGGAGAAATTTCCTGATTGTGAGAACAATTAATCAGTGGAACGATTTGCCTCCAGAAGTTGTGAATGCTCCAACACGGGAAGTTTTTAAGGAGAGGTTGGGTAACCATTTGAAATGATGTAGGGTTTCCTGCCTGAGCAGGGGTTGGACTCCAAGGTCCCTTCCAATGTTGTTCTATTCTACCTGTATGTGAGAAGCCCTCTCTTTTTAGAGAGAACCTGGTTGCAGTGGACCTTAAAATCCTCTTCCCTCTTTTTCTTTGGACAGGTTCAGGATCCCTTCATGGAAGTGGGTGCAAAAAATCCCGGAGCACAAAGAGACGTGGCATCTCCCTCTCAGGAACTGGCCATTGGAGGGATCTCCCAAGAGGATCCAGCTCAGATCACATCCGAAGGTAATAAATTAGGTTCTTCATTTGTTAAATGTTTATATTGCTGTACTCTACAAGGAACCGTAACAGGGTGCAACTGAAAAGAAACATATGTTATTCATTGATTGAACACTTTGGTTCAGCTTGGAACCTTAGTCCGATGTTTCTCCAGGGTCCCAATAAGCAAATCCTTAACCACCAAAGCCCCTTTGAGCTGCTAGCATTCCCAGGCAGAGATGCCCCCTTTCAGGGCATGTAACATCATCTCTCCCAATGAGGCATTGAGCACCCTGATCCAGCCAATCAACTCACACCAAACTCCCCAATAGCAACAGCAATAGCACTTGGACTTATATACCACTTTATAGTGCTTTACATCCCCCTCTAAGCAGTTTACAGAGTCAGCCTATTGCCCCCAACAATCTGGGTCCTCATTTTACCCACCTTGGAAGGATGGATGTTTGAGTCAACCTTGAGCCGGTGAGGATCAAACTCCTGGCTGTGGGCAGAGTTAGTCTGGAAAAAAAATTGAACCACCACGCCACCAAATGAATCGGATAAGGCAGGATTGTAAGTCCCGTCTAATGGAAATCGTACCATTCAGCACCTGCCCACTTCCTTGAAGTCCTGGGAAAATCCTCACCGGCTCAAGGTTGACTCAAGTCTTCCATCCTTTAGAGGTCGGTAAAATGAGGAGGCAGGATCGAACTCTTGGCTGTGGGTAGAGTTAGCCTGCAATAATTTCTAACCACCATGCCACCACAGCTCCAAATATAAGGCAAGAGTCTAAGTCCCGTCTAATGGAAATCGTACTGTTCCTCAGCTGCCCAATTCCTTGAAATCCTGGGAAAATAGCGAATGCAAGAGACAACCTTAAAATCTCTCTCTATTTCAGTAGACTCTTAAGTCCAGACTTAAGGAACCTTAATTCTTCATATCTTCACCGGGCCTTTCGTGGATTAACAGGAGCCCTTCCCTCTCATGATCAGTAAAGTACCTCCAAGCCTAACTCTTTAGCCTCTCTATTTCGCTCCTCATCACCTGTTACTCAGTTAATCAGAGAGGTTGGGCCTCTGGCCACAGTCTCGCATCCCCAGATCAGTGTATGCATCTTTATTGTGATGCTGGCGCAATGGTTAGAATGCAGTATTGCAGGCTAATTCTGCCCACTGTCTGCAGTTCAATCCTGAGCAGCTCAAGGTTAACTCAGCCTTCCACCTTCCGAGGTGCGTAAAATGAGGACCCAGGTTGTTGGGGGGCAAAGTTGCTGATTCTAAACCACTTAGAGAGGGCTACCAAAGCACTATGAAGCAGTAGATAAGTATTAAGTGCTATTGGTAGTGCTATTGCTCACACCACAGTTGCACCCTACATTTGTAAGCAAGACAGTTGTTAAGCGAGTTTTGCCTTAAGTGTCCATGGAGACTCTCAGTCACCCAGGTAATAGTTGTCCCAAAATTGTATCTGCCTCTTGAAAAAGCAACTTTGGGACAGTTGGGAAGTGAATTACTGCCGTTCTTAAGTTAGGCACATGGTTGTCAAGAGGATCTGGCTTCCCCATTGGCTTTGCTTGTTGGAAAGTCGCATGATCTCAGGACACTGTTGAATGTCATAAATACATGGCAGTTGCCGAGCATCTGAAATTCGGTCACATTTTTTTATTTATTTTTATTTTTATTTTATTATTTTATTTTATTTTATTTTTGTATGTCAATTGCTTACAAAATAATAGCTATAAGTAAAAACATAGTTATGAATACATGCTTACATATAAGAAAAATTTTAAAAAATAAAGAAACAATATGATAGGGAGGGTAGGCATGTTGGTGCATTTATGCACGCTCCCTCTTAGATAAAGGGGTGAGGTCAATAGTGGACAGTCTAAGGTTAATGACCATGGGGTACTGCAACGGTCGTAAGTGTGAAAAATGGCCATTATTTTTACCTGCTGTTGAACTTCAAACACTAAACAGTACAGGTTTTCCTTGTTCTCATTCCTCCTGGATCCTATGTGGATACAGATTACACCCAGGTCATTATTTTTTACTATCCATCTGGTGTTCCCTATCGGCCCCCTCCCCAATATGGAACTTGGAATTAATATTTTTGACCTTGGGTCATTTATACCATGTACAGCTCTACTGTCAGGATTCCGGCAATTGCCCCAATTAAATCCTGATTCTAGAGCCAAACTTCCAAAACTTCAGAAAGACTTATTGGGAGTTAAAATGTCCGGCACTGTCTTGGAATAGCCGACCCTGAGGCACATAATTCATCGTCACTCTTAACCCTGGTTTCCGTCGCCCCCCCAGTCACCTAGTTACTATCTTTGAAAACTATTCATGAACTACACTTTCGGTTTCCAAGCTACCACACTGCTCCGCCCTCCCTTTCTGTTGGCAACTCTAAAAAGATCATAGAAATATTTTATGAGTTGCCATCTACCTAGCTTCCCATGATGCTCAGTGTGCAACATAAAACTGTTGGGGAAGATTATTGGGGCAAGATGCTGTCTCTTTAACCCATTAGCGAGGGCTGTAAAATAGTATGAAGTGGTATATAAGTCTAGGTGCTATTGATATTACTTACTTGAAGTCTCACTGATGTGGAAAAAATGCTCCTTTTATTTTATTTTATTTTTTGTATAATTTTGCTTGAGAATGCTGCAGGAATGTTTTCAAAATGCCTTCCTCCATTTTTGTCTTATCAGGGAACGGAGCAACCCTGAGGGTTATTGAAAAAACGCCTCTGCTTTGTGGTGGAACCGAAATTGCTGTGGTCATTCCAACTCAGGTAGGAGGGATCAAGCTCCCGTAAAGTGTTAGTACCACTTTATAATGCCTTGGTAAGACCTACAACTTGGAATATTGAATCCAGTTTTGATCACTGCAATATAAAAAAAGAGGTTGAGAGTCTGGAAAGAGTGCAGAGAAGAGCAATGAAGACGATTAGGGAACTGGAGGCTGAAACATATAAAGAACGGTTGCAGAAATTTGGTGTCTAGTTTAATGAAAAGAAAAACTAGGGGGTGACATGATATCAATGTTCCAATATCTCAGGGGCTGCCACAAAAAAGAGGGGGTCAGGCTATTCTCCACAGCACCTGAGGGCAGGACAAGACGCAAAGAATGGAAGTAAATCAAGGAGAGAAGCCATCTAGAACTAAAGAGGAATTTTCTTAACAGTGAGGACAATTAACTGGTGGAATACTTTTCTTTAGATTTTATAGGAGCTCCATTGCTAGAGGTTTTTAAGAAGAGACTGGACAACCAGTTCTCTGAAATGGTAAAGGGCCTCCTGCATGAATTGGGAGCTATAATTATTTATTTGTATTTATTTATCAAGCTTAGATACCATCCACTTCACTCTCAAGAGTGACCTTGGGTGATTTTCAGATGGTACAGGTAATCCTCAACCTACGACCTCAACTTGAAACTTTACATTAAGAGGGATGGGTTTTTTGTTTTGTTTTTTAATTTCAGAATCGTATGTCATTTGAAGATATAGCCGTATTCTTTTCGGAAGAGGAGTGGGCCCTGCTGAATCCTGACCAAAAATTGCTGTACAGGGAGATCATGTTGGAAAATACAAGGAACATTACCTGCCTAGGTAAGAGTTCTTTTTCTACTTTTCTGGTCAGAC